AACACAAATTGAGAAAAACTAATGGAATCAAAAGCTGGTTCTTTGAAAGACCAATATATTTTTTAAAACTTCTAGCCAGACTGACCAAGAAAAAAAAGAAGACAAAAATTACTTTTATTGAGAATCAAAGAGGGAATTTCACTACAAACACCACAGACATGAAAACAATAGGGAAAACTAACAATTGTATGCCCATAAATTCAACAATAGCTGAAAGTCCTTGATATGTCTTCCCAAAATTAAATTCATCATTTTAACCCTCCCAGCAAAGAAGACTCCAGGCCTGGATGGTTTCATTACTCAATTCTCCAAGTATGTAAGAAAGGACACCAATTATATACAATATCTTCCAGAAAATAGAAGAAAAGGGAACACTTCTCAACTCATTTTATAAGGTCATCATTGCCCTGATATCAAAACTTAAGGAAAACTCTACAAAAAATAATGTTACAAAATATGATCAGAATATTACAAGAAACCCATAACAAGCCTTTAACACATGACTTGTGAAACATCCTTCTCCACATCCTATCCCGCTATAATCCTGCAAAACCAAACCTAACTAAACCCCCAAGAAAGCCTTCAGGTACATGTATGCAGCTAAGACCCAAGGGAAAAATGCCAGGAACTTCAAGTATCTTACTGTATATCCCCTGATGCAGGGCTTGATGCGTGGAGTGGAGCTTGGGCTGAATTTTAGATCCCATTCACCCTGTTGTAAGCTAAACAATGGTCCCCTCAAACACCCATATCCTAATTCCTGGAACATGTGCATGTTATCTTCTATGACAATTAGGATTCTGCAAATGTAATTAAGGATCTTGAGGGGGGGAGTTATTCTGTAGTATCAGGTGATCCCTGAAGGTAATCACAACTGTGTTTTTTAGAGAGAGTGTCAGAGGGAGATTTGACTGGTGGAGAAGTGAAGGCAATGTAACAGAAGCAGAAAGACATTTGCGGATGCTACACTGCTAGCTTGGAGGATGGAGGAAAGGCCATGAGTCAAGGAATGTAAAGATGGGCTCTAGAAGCTAGAAAGGGCAAGGAAAAGGATTGTTCTCTCAGAGCCTTCAAAGGAACCAGCTCTCCCAACACTTTGACTTTAGCCCAGTGAGATTGATTTCACACTTCTGACCTCCAGAGCTGTAAAAGAATACATTTATATTGTTGTGAGCAACTAGGTTTGTGATAATCTGTCACAGCAGCAATAGAAAACTGGGAACTGGGAACCTTTGTACACAGCCCAATCTGCAGACCAAGATGGCCTGTGTGTAGTCCACTTCCCCTTCTACACACAAACCAGTAAATTAAGACACAGGCTGCAACTGGTTAGCATTTCTTCTTTCTTTATAGTTCTAAGGCCTCCCCCAGCCTGCAGCCTAGGCAGTGGGGCATATATTTTCATTTGTTCTATCTCTGGCTTCTTTCTCTCTGATCCTCACATGTATTGGAAGTAAAGTTCTTTTGGCGGGGAGGAGGCAATGAGGCAAACAGCTACCTGCTTTTCTTGGGATACCTCAGAAGAAGGACATCTGGTTATGACAAGATAGGACCTAAGCATTCCTCAGTCTCCTGGCTGAATGCTATTTTAACACCATCTTAACCACTAATGAATTCTAGCAAACTACACATTACTATAAGAGCACAGTAGAGAGAATTATATTAAAAGTGTGTTTGTCATATAGAAAACGATTTACATTAGTGGATTTTTAAATCACTTTTGTCTAATCAGAATTTTTACTGAAATAAAAAAGAAATTATCAGAATGCATTGCAGATGGATGGGGTAAGCAGAGCTCTATAAGACTTTTGTCTCAATTATATGTGTGAGCACAGGTTCTGTGTTGCAATATGAAATATATATTTCTTTTAGTGAGTCTTGGAAGGGTTTGAAAAATAATGGAGCATGTGCTTTCTGATAGCTATCCCAACTTTCACCTCACTGTTCTTGTGAAAATCCAAAGAGAAAGACAAAAATAGACATAGTTCTCTAAAACTGAAAGGGCCTTTTCAAGAAGCAAAGTCCTTCACTTTACTCACTTCTGATAGCTTGAGCTCGTAATGATACTGAAGGAAAGCTATCCAGAGCAGGGGTGCTTAACTTGTGGTCCAGGTGGTCTAGGAAACCTCTGATTGCAAGCAAAATGTTGTATATGAAAAGGGACATATTTTTAGGAAAGGGTCCATATTTATCAAGGATACCCGAGAGAGTCTACAATTGTCCAAGACATTAAAAACCATTGAAACTGGGAAACTTTTGATAGGTTAAACCTTTTTAATTTTTTTTTAATGTTTATTCATTCTCGAGACACAGAGCACAAGCAGGAGAGAAGCAGAGAGAGAGGGAGTCACAGAATCTGAAGCAGGCTCCAGGCTCTCAGCTGTCAGCACAGAGCCCGATATGGGGTTCGAACCCATGAATCACAAGATCATGACCTGAGCTGAAGTCGGACGCTTAACTGACTGAGCCACCCAGGCGACCCATTGATAGGTTAAATCTTGTCTGGCAGTGCCATAATTCTGGGAATGACAGAACTTGATGATAGTAATTCAAATTGATTTAGGAAAAGACATTCTTACTGAGTCTGGCCTAATAACAGGGTTGGACTCATATAAGATTAGCAGTTTAGGTCAATTAAGAAGATATAAAATTATGAAGAATTTTTCTTAAAAAAAAACTACATTCTCTATCATATGAAGTCATCTGTGTTAACTCCTGGCTGTAATAAAGTTTGAGTCTTAAAATGGCCGATACAGAAACATATTTGGTTTCATAACCTAACTCATATAACCACGTCTCCACCTTAGCCTTGATAGAACAGAAACACAGGGCCTTGACCTCTGTTGCCATGACCCCTTGTCACTCCTTACCTAGATATTTCCTATTTATCCTTACAAACTCATTTCAGGCCTCATCTTCTCCAAAAGCTTTCCCTCTCTGTGCCAGGCTAAACTGACTACAGGGGCTCCACCTTGTTCTTCCATAGCCTCCAATGCACAACACTAGTAGGTATTTACCCTGTTACAAGGAGATTCTCTAGTCAAATCTCACCTCTGCACTGCATAGTAAGTGCTCTGAAGGAAGACGGGGACTGATGAGTCTTAATCTCCAGGTCATCAAAAATTAGCTGGGTGTTTGGCACACAGTAAGAGTCAGTATCACTACCAATGGCAACAAACTATAAGTTCAGATCCTACAGTAAAAAAAAACTGTCTATGAGGTTAAATCTTCTCACCTAAACCTAAAAAATTGCCTGAAGTCTGTAACAAGGCAGTATATATATATATATATATATTTTTTTTTTTAAACGTATTAATACAGTGGCACCTGGGTAGCTCAATGAGTTAAATGTCCAACTTTGGCTCAGGTCATGACCTCATGGTTCCTGAGTTCAAGCCGCGCATTAGGCTTTCTGCTGTCAGCACAGAGCTGGTTTCAGATCCTCTGTCCACCTCTCTCTCTGCCCCTCCCCTGCTTGTGCATGCATGCGCTAAGATAATAAAATAATAAATATATATATATATAAATATATAATACAACACTATTATAGTAATTTGTTACATACTAGAGACAAAAAAGTACTCCAAGGGTGTTGCAGGTATGGACTTCAGGTGAGTTAGACTGTACTTTGGGAAAGCCTATCATTTTAAATATTGATTGGTGATGATTGGACGTGCATGGAATGATCTTTTGAGAAAAAGCAAGTGGCAGTGTAGGAAGCTTTGGGGGAGAGGTTCCAGACAATTCCAGTCCCTAGGAAGCATACTGGCTTCCACAGAGAAAGATAACATTAGGGCTTGGTTTCAGTTCAGGTCATAATCTCGGTTGATGAGTTCAAGCCCTGCATTGGGTTCTGTGCCGACAGCACAGAGCATGCTTAAGATTCTCTCCCTCTCTCTCTTCCCCTCCCTGCTTGAGTGCTCCCTCTCTCTCAAAAATAAATTAAAAGTTAAAGGCAAAATTAGCAACAAAATTTTCCTGATATTAATTTAAAAGGTACTTTCCCTTTAACCATTCAGGGCTCAAAACATTCTTATTTTGTATCTGTGGTAAAAACAATGTGTTGGATGTCTCCCCACATATACTTTTCCCCATTTTCTAAGAAAGATGAAGCAGACAGAAAGCAAATAGTCTAAGGGAATGTATTCCTAGCTTTTGTTTTTCTGATATGTAGACCCCACTCTGCTTTGTTCATTGGTTTGCCTGAGGTAGTAGGACGGGGGAGGGGGAGCAAGGGTAAAGGATGAAAGTGCATGAACAAAGTTTTTGGTTTAAAACACGCATACCTTAACTGGAAATCAGTCCTTTAGCAGAAAGATATTCCTCTTCCACAGCGCATGCAGCTCAAGCACGGAAGCAAGGGAAGCAAGGAGAGAAGGCGGCGGCACCTGGCAGGCCAGCCAGGCTCCTCCCACAGCACCCAAGTAGCCCAACAATAAACCTCTAACGGAACGCTTGACCAGAAGGGCACCAAGGCAATGATATCCCCGGAGGTCCCAACAAAGCTCCAGGTGTGTCTTCAGCTAGAAAGCTCAGAAAGCGTTGCTCTGATCACCTGTGGCAAATAACCTACTCTACCTCTAGAACGTTCGCGTATGCAGTTCCTCCGCGGAGGGAGGTAAGATTTACCATTATGCACAGTCAGTCACATAGAAAATATTTATTAGGACACTATTCATTATACATGGAAAAAAGGATAAAGTTTTCCTTTCTTATCTTTGCTGCTGGGTCGGCAGCAACCCTGCGGCCAGAATGAGGCTGGGTCCCGGTCCCAGCCCCCATGGCGGCAGGGTTCTGTGGGGCGGGGGAGGAAGGTAGGTGAGGAGGCCCTGCCTATGTGAATTCAACAATGGGTTAAAAAGCAGTCGACTCCTGAAAGGACCAAAACAACACAATAACTTTTTCCCTCCAAAGTAAAAATCAGTAGTTTCGCCATCATGCCTCCAACATTTAAAAGATAAAAATTTTCCGGAGGAAAACATAGATCCAAGCGGTGGGTTTTATGAAAAGAACCGCGAGCCAGGCAGGTGCTGGTTGAATGGCCACACGTTGCTCCTGCCCTTATTGTTGGTGCTCCTCTGGCACTGCTTGCAGCGCAAATATCTCTCGCACTGGTCCAGGATAAAGAGCTTGTTTGCAGACCTGAGGAGAGGCAAGGACGGGCGGTCATTATTAGGGGCTCCCTGAGTCCGTGCTGGGGCCTAGCTTAGAAGCCGGTGCCGGAGAAGTGATGCAGCAGAGAAGGCACATACCTACCATCTAGGAGCTTAATGCCTGCCTGTGAGGGCCCACCTGCCATCTCTCCCGTCCACACGGCTTCCTGCAGCTCACCCCAGCTTGGCATGTTCTGCTGTTGGCATGTCTGCTATTTCCAGTAAATATAAGACTTGGTGCCTTCACAACCGTCTGACCCCAGCGCTTCTCCCCAGCCCCACCCACCTAAACCCTCAGAAGAAACATAACTTGCCCAAGACCACACAGCCAGCAAACAGGTGTCTTCAAAGCTTTGCCATGTGGATACACTTTTATCTGTCAGGCTCTCGGGGGAAAGACAGCATTGAGAGGGAGAGCAGGCCATTAAGCTGCTGGTTAAGTTAAGCCCCAGCAGACAGTTAAGAGTAGACTTATAAGGTAAGTCTAGGAGTCCAGAGCCCTCTGGATGGTTAAGGGTAGGAGGGGGGGTGGAGACAAAGAGTAGGAGGACAAAAGGGGCTCAAAGCAGAGATGAAGGGATGGCAATAATTGATTTTGCATGTCAACAATTTTTCTTGATTTTGCAGGACAGTCCCTGGTGTGTTCCCCTACCCTACCAACATTTCTACATGATTGGAATTCTGTAAAAAGGAGCATCAAGAACAGCCTTACAAGGTAAAAGAACAAATAATGTTAGCAGTGTTCAGGGGGGACCTACCTGTCTTGGTTTGGTGTTGGGATGGAGTATCATGTGCTAACTGCATTCATGGGAAGTTTGTTTTTGCTTCTGCTTTGTTTTTTTTTTAACAGCAACCAATTCCTTCTTCCTAACCTGCTCCTGCTTGAGGCCCTGCCCACAACTTGGCTTCGGTCTTCAGGTAACAGGATTGCTCTGCCATGTCCCTGCTATGTCCCTGCCATATCCTGACATTCAAGGTTGTTTCCTATGTCTCCTCTATCCTTTATCACCACGTTGGCCAAGCAATCTTCCGAAATCCAGCAAAATCTCCCCAGCATTAATGTCACTGCCTTTTACCTGCTTTTCCCCAACATTAAGAAAATGCCCTGAGGGGCGCCTGAGTGGCTCAGTCAGGTAAGCATCCAACTTCAGCTCAGGCCATGATCTCATGGTTCATGAGTTTAAGCCCCACATTAGGCTCTGCACTGGCAGTGGGTTCTCTCTTTCTTCCTCCCTCTCTGCCGCTCCCCCAGTCATGCTCTCTCACTCTCTCAAAGTAAACAAATAAATAAGCTTTAAAAAAAAAAAAAAAAAAAGGAAAATGCCTTGAAACCCCAGTGCCCCTTTGTCTTCTCTAAGCCAAACAATCCCAGTTCTACTTTGGAACTTCATTGCTACATCATCCCTCTTAGTCCCATTGTAACAAAATATGGGTTCTACCCATTAGAAAGACAGGTAAGAGATGCCTTAAAAGAATATCTTGGAACAGAGTTACAAACCAAGACTTATTATGACAAATTTTAACTATGGTAAAAATTAGTTGATATGTGGGAATTTAAAATATTATTTTGGTATATTCAGGATTTAATAACATGTGACTACATAGGCTTGGTCTGTTCAAGTTTTAACATACTATGAAATCATACCTTACATTTGTAAAATATTTTCTTTTTTTTAAGTGTAATGTTTTTCCACCTCTTTATTTGATCACAAAATTCCTGTGTTAGCTATGTCAGGCAGGTGTTTACTTTCTTCATCTTACAAATAAAAGACAAAAAGATTAGCTGCCTTTCCAAATTTAGTATTAATTCTCAAAGCCATGACTAGAGTCCTTGACTCTAGGTTGTCAATCGGTAGCTGGGAAGAGGGAATATGGATATAATACATTTCAGGAACATGGTCTTGGGTTGATTCTGTAACAGGCATTTCATTTTCCCAGTTGCCAATCTTACAACCCCTTGACTCTGCTCTTAAATGACCATTCTGTCAGACTTGGATGTGTCCAGATAGAAACTCCCTCTCCCTGTTTCCAGCTAGTTATTTCCAAGGAGAATTCCTACCCTCCCCCACCCCATGCTTCCCTACCCTCCACAATATGAAAATAAACTACCCTAAACAGAGGCAAAAATTAGGGCAAATATGGCAAGCATATAACACACATCCCAGCATTCTCCAATCCCATATCCATAGCAGACATTTTGAATACATCACCACAGCATTTCCTACTGAACCCAGAATTCTTTTCTCCACCAGGTTCCCTAGGTAGCCACTGCTAATCATTGGGAGTTGGCACTGGAAACCTGTGTGCCATCCCAGGATTCCAGGAAAGTAAACAAGGAGTGGAGGGGGTTTCTCTGCAAAAAACTTCTGGTTCCAATTGGGTATTACCGCTGGAAAGCCTTCTCCTCCATGTCCCGCTGTTTCTTCATTGCAATGCTCCTTTCCCAGTCCTTCAACAAGCTCTCGTTCATTCTCTTCACCCGCTCCATCTCAGCCTTTCTGTCTGCCAGGTGTCTGGAGACAACAGCAGAGTCTGGTTTTGTTCACAATCACAATACCAGGGAGGGCATGCACCCACCCTGGAAGCCCCATTCCTTTATGGTAGATTACCCAGAAGACATTCTGGTTTTGTTCACTACTCCTTGAAATACACTGAAAGGAATGAACATTGAGAAAAACACTAAAAATATTATAGGTCTCAAATAGTTTACTGGTCTGGGACCTTTCATCTTCAATTCTGGTTTAAATTAGCAGGATTGAAACCTTTTTCCAATGAACAAATTCAGCCTTTAAAGCCATTAATTTCCTTTGAAGCTAATTTAACTAATCTGAAGAATCATCTCAAATGGATTTCCTCTACTTTAGGTTTCTTTCCTTTTATTCCAGTCACTCAGCTGTCAGTAATCAGCCCGAATTGCTACAGGCATGTTACAAGGCAAAGTAGACAGGAATACAAATGAATGGCTAGAAACAGGGAAAGAAACAGAAGTGACTAGGCAAAACAAAATGAAATCAAGAAAGTATGTAACATTGTGAAGAAGGTTCAGAAAAAAAAAAAAAAGAAAAGAGGAATGTCTGGTGAAAGTAAAGACATCAAAGAAGTAATTACGGTGTATCTCTCTTCAAGTACCATTTCCCAGAATTCCCAATGAAAAGTGTCTCTATTACTAGTCTCCAGACACGTAGCCACTGCTGTTGTGAATCATCTTAAACCTGGTTCAAATTATTTATTTATATGTGTCTATTTGCCAGACTGAAACTCTTACCTTCAGTTCTCATTAAAGTCTAGAAAGGACTTCACTAAATGTGCAGGTTGATTTAGCCTGCTCTGCCAGGCTTTGTGTTACAGGCAGCCACTGCCACTAGGTGTCAGGACCCTCTGATAAAAATCAGTAATGGACTGTGTGCTGGTTTGCTTTTCCTAAAATAAACATGGCCACGTTTTCCTCCAAGGAGCATTGAGCAATTCAGCTATTGTGTGGTCATTATAAAGATTAAATGAGATAATATGCAGAAAGTACCAATGCCTATAACACAATGAGAGCTCAATGACTAAATGGTACCTATTATATATTTCTTTCATAACCTTTTTTTCCTTTTCATAGTGTTTTTTAATTGTAACACAAACCACATAAAGTTGACCATCTTAAAAAATTTTAAGAGTACAGATACATAGTATTAAGTACATTTACCTTGTTGTGCAACCAATATCCAGAACTCTTTTTTTTTTTTTTTTTTAATTTATTGTCAAATTAGCTAACATACAGTGTAAACAGTGTGCTCTTGGTTTTGGGGGTAGATTCCCATGATTCATCGCTTACATACAACAGCCAGTGCTTATCCTAACAAGTGCCCTCCTCAATGTCCATCATCCATCCCCCCCATCCCGGTTCCCCCAACAACCCTCAGTTTGTTCTCCACATTCAAGAGTCTCTTACGGTTAGCCTCCCTCTCTGTTTGAAAGTATTTTTTAAATAGTTCTATACTATTTTAAATAGTATAGAAACTCGGGGCGCCTGGGTGGTGCAGTCGGTTAAGCGTCCGACTTCAGCCAGGTCACGATCTCGCGGTCCGTGAGTTCGAGCCCCGCGTCGGGCTCTGGGCTGATGGCTCAGAGCCTGGAGCCTGTTTCCGATTCTGTGTCTCCCTCTCTCTCTGCCCCTCCCCCGTTCATGCTCTGTCTCTCTCTGTCTCAAAATAAATAAAAAACGTTGAAAAAAAAATTAAAAAAAAAATAGTATAGAAACTCTATACTCATTAAACAACTTCTCATTTTTCCCTCCCCCTAGTGCCTAGAAAGCACTGTTCTACTTTTTCCATGAATTTGACCACTCTGATAACCTTATAGAAGTGGAATCATACAATATTTTGTATTGTATTATAATGACTGGCTTATTTTACTTAGCATAATGTCATCAACGTTCATCTGTGTTGTAGCATGTGTCATAATTTCCTTCCTTCTGAAGGCTGAGTAATATTCCATTGTATGCGCGTTAACACATTTTGTTTATTCATTTCTCTGTGGCCAGACATTTGGGTTGCTTCCCTTTCTTGGTTACTGAAGGCTGTTATGAACATGGGAGCGCAAATATCTCCTCAAGATCCTATTTTCAACTCCAGCAAAAAAAACTACTAGAACCGATAAATGAATTCAGTAAGGTCACAGGATACAAAATCAATGTACAGAAATGTGTTGCATTTCTATACACTAATAACGAAGCACCAGAAAGAGCAATTAAGAAAATAAACCCATTTATAATTGCACCAAACTTAACCAAGGAGGTAGAAGATCTGTACTCTGAAAACTATAAAACACTGATGAATGAAATTGAAAATGATACAAACAGGGGCTCCTGGGTGGCTCAGTAGGTTGAGTATCTGACTTTGGCTTGGGTCATGATCTTGCGGTTTGTGAGTTCGAGCCCCGCATCGGGCTCTGTGCTGACAGCTCAGAGCCTGGAGCCTACTTTGGATTCTGTGTCCCCCTGTCTCTCTGCCCACCCCTGCTTGTGCTCTCTCTCTTTCAAAAATTAATAAACAAAATAAATTTTTTTAAAGAAAATGATACAAACAAATGGAAAGACAGTCCATGCTCATGGACTGGAAGAACAAATATTGTTAAAATGTTCATATACCCAAATCAGTCTATAGATTTAATGAAATCCCTATCAAAATACCAAAAGCATTTTTCACAGAACTAGAACAAATAATACTAAAATTTGTATGGAAACACAAAAGGCCTCAAATAGCCAAAGCAATCTTGAAAGAAAAAAAAATCCCAAACCTGGAGGCATCACAATTCCAAACTTCAAGTCATATTACAAAGCTGTAGTGATCAAAACAGTATTGTACTGGCACAAAAAATAGACACAGAGATAGATTAATGGAATAGAATAGAATGACCAGAAATAAACCCACAAGTGTGTGGTCAATTAAACTTCAACAAAGCAGGAAAGAATATTCAATGGGAAAAAGTCTCTTTGACAAATGGTATTGGGAAAACTGGACAGCGACATACAGAAGAATGAACCTGGACCACTTTCTTACATCATACACAAAAATAAACTCAAAATGGATTAAAGACCTAAACGTGAGACTTGAAACCATAAAAATCCCATAAGAGAGCATAGGCAGTAATATTCTGACATCGGCCATGACATCTTTTTAGATATGTCTCCTGGGGCAAGGGAAACAAAAGCAAAAATAAACTATTGGGACCATATCAAAATAAAAAATATATAAAGAACTTCTACAACTCAACACCAAAAAACAAATAATCCAAGTAAAAACTGGGCAGAGGATCTGAACAGATATTTCTCCAAAGAAGACATAAAGATGGCCAACAGATAGATAAAAAGATGCTCAACATCATTCATCAGCAGGGAAATGCAAATCAAAACCACAATGAGCCATCACCTCACACCTGTCAGAATGGCTAAAATCAAAAACACAAGAAACAAGTGTTGGTGACAATGTGGAGGAAAAGGAACCCTCATGCACAGTTGGTGGGAATGCAAATTGGTGCAGCCACTGTGGAAGACAATATGAAGGGTCCTCAAACAATTAAAAATAAAACTACCCTACAATCCAGTAATCGCATTACTGGGTATTTACCCAAAGAATATAAAAACACTACTTTGAAGGGATATATGCACCTCTATGTTTACTGTAGTGTTATTTACAATAGCCAAATTATGGAAACAGCCCAGGCATCCATCAATAGGTGAATGGATAAAGAAGATGTGATATGTGTGTGTGTGTGTGTGTGTGTGTGTGTGTGTGTGTATACACATATACACACATACAATGGATGTTATTCAGCCATAAAAAAGAATGAGACCTTGCCATTTGCAACAACACAGATACGTCTAGAGGTTATAATGCTAAGCAAAATAAGCCAGTCGGAGAAAGACAAATACCAGATGACTTCTCTCATATGTGGAATTTAAGAACCAAAACAAACAAAAAAAGAGGCATAAAGAGAAAACAAAAAACAGACTCTTAACTATAGAGAACAAACAGGTGGTTACCAGAGGGAGGTGGATGGGGTATGGGTGAAATAGGTAAAAGGGATTAAGAGTACACTTACCTTGATAAGCAATGAGTAATGCATGGAATTATTGAATCACTATATCGTACATCTAAAATGTACAATGTTATATTACACTATATGTTATGTATAACATTTCATGTTAACTATATTGGAGTGAAAATAAAATAATTTTTTAATTTTCTAAAAAGGATCCTGCTTTCAATTCTTTTAGGTATATACGCAGAAGTGGAATTGTTGAATCATATGGTAATTCTATTTTTAATTTTTTGAGTAACTGCCATGCTGTTTTCCATAGCGGCTGCACCATTTTACATTCTCATCAATTGTGCCCGGGGTTTCTATTTCTCCACATCCTTACCAACACCTACTGTTTTCTGGGTTTTGATAGGAGCCATCCTAACGAATGTGACCCTAGTATCTTTCTCTTTTTTCTTTAGTTTTAGTTTTTGCGTTTGTTTTTGCTTGCCTTAGTTTTCTTTATCTTTCCTTTTTACATCATAATTGCATCTTAATGGTTTTGTCTACCAGTGAATCGACAGTTTTCTTCCTTTCTAATCTTTTGCATAGTCTAAAAGAAGTACTTGTTAAATGTTTCATGGTGCATGTGGTATAAGAAAAATCTATAATTATTCTTGATTTGGACATTTCACAAGACAATCAAAGCACAGATTTTATAATACAAAATACATGATAGCACATTTGATCTTTGCATTTGTGAAACCTTAAGATGTTATTCTGCAAACATATGTTTTCTTTGCATAAAGCCCTAGGGGGAAGAAAAGATAGCCATCTCACCTGTATACATTACAGTGATATATAGATCTTAAACAGTGTAAGATTTTTTCTTCCATCTACATAAATGAGTTGCAAGGAGAAAAATGAACAATTTGCTAACTGCTTACTTCATTCAGACTGTCATAGACTTGGCCTCCAGGATGGATATGTGATTGGAATTAAATTATTAAATTGTGTAATACAAAACACAGCTACATTTGCAATCTCACCATCCTACTTTGCTACCTTTATTCACTGGAATTGATTTTGCTACCTTTATTCACTGGAGTGGAGAATCCCGGTCTCTCAGGTCTAGATAAGTAAATATTCAGTAAAACATGAAACACTTCTTAGCTTGGAGAGGCACACATTTAGTTAAAAGCTAAATGACATCTATTCCAAACAGTACAAACAATGACAGCTGACAGCCGAATAAGGCTGACCTGCCCACGGTTCAGAAAGTGGAAACAATGTGTTAGTAAGCAGCTATCTCACTGTGGCTTTGATTTGCATTTCCCTAATGATTAGTGATGTCGAGCAGCTTTTCAAAAGCTTTTTGGCTATAATTGTATTCTTTTTAAAAGGATAGTTTAAAAATTCAGTTTAATTTAGATGCTAAGAAAGTGAGAAAATGAAGTGGGTCTACAGGGGAGGCAAACTAGGATTCCCACAAGACTGCTGTTGGAAGCAAATTGCCATACCTTTTTAGAAAGCAAACTGTCAGTATCTGGTGACATTTAAAATGCGCCATACGCTGGCATCCAGCAATTCCACTTTTAAGATTTTATCCAATGGAAACAAAAGAACCAGTATGAAGATATATATTAAAAATGTTTAATGCAAAATTGTTGTAATAGCAAACCATCTGGAAACAGAGTGAATGTTCATCAATAATGCAAAAGTTAAATTATAGCAATCCATATTATAGATATCATGCTGTTTTTGAAGAAGAATGAATTTCATTTCTATGTACTGATCTGAACATGAACTAATGATGCATTATTAGGTTAAAGAAAGATTGGGCTGCAGAGTAATGTATAAGATCTCACAGCTCTTATTTTCATTTACAAAAATGGAAGGAAAAAAAATATATGCATCTTATTTGAATATATTTGTAAAGAATAGAAAAAAATATAGAAGGCTAGGGGGAGATTATTAACTTTTTTTAATCTCTCCACCAATTGACTTTTTTTTTAAAGTTTATTTATTTTGAGAGAGAGCAAGAGAGAGCATGCGGGAAAGGGCAGAGAGAAAGGGAGATAAAGAGAATCCCAAGCAGGCTCCCTACCATCAGTACAGAGCCCAACATGCGGCTCAAACTCAGACGCCATGAGATCATGACCTGAGGCAAAATCAAGAGTCAGACACGTAACTGACTGAGTCATGCAGGCGCCCCACCAATTGACTTATTTTAATAAGCATAATTTGTTATATTTTTTATAAACATAAGCAGAAGAGTTTAAAGAAAAAGAAGTAAAAATACTTTAGCAGGCCTGTTTGTTTCATAGTGACTAAATGATCCCCTCTGAAAGAAAGTGACCCTCTACTTGCCGTAGGAGGGCCTCAGATGACATCCTGAGATGCACCAGAGACAGGGAAGTTGGAAAAGAAAAGTGAGAGAATATGGAATAACTAGTAAAGGATATAGAAACAGGAGACAAGGACCTGACCCCTACAGAAAAGGGGGTCTGTGACCAGAGCTTCAACAAGAGAGATAACCAAGTAAAGACCTCAATTCATATTTGTTCAGAGCTTTGCGGTTACCAAAAACGTTCTCAAATACATACTCATATAATTCTCACAGTAAGGAGAGGTAGGGCAGGTATATTATCCTTATGTTTCATGTGAGGAAAAGAGGGCCCAAAGAACCCTGTGTGTGTGTGATTTGGCCCAGGTCATGGAGCTTGGAAGTGGACAGAGTTTAACATCACTCATCATCAGAGAAATGCAAATCAAAACCACAATGAGCTATCACTCTATACCAGTTAGAATGGCTAAAATCAAAATGACAACAAACAACAGGTGCTTGTGAGGATGTGGAGACAAAGGAACCCTTGTGCAGTGCACTGTTGGTGGGAATACAAACTGGTGCAGCCACTATGGAAAACAGTATGGAGCTTCCTCAAAGAGTTAAAAATAGAACTACCACAGGATCCAGTAATTCCACCTTTGGGTATTCACCCAAAGAAAATGAAAACGCTAATTCAAAAATATATATGCACCCCTAAATTTATTGCAGCATCATTTATAATAACCAATATGTGGATGCATCCAAGCATCCATCAATAGATGAATGGAGGGGCGCCTGCGTGGCGCAGTCGGTTAAGCGTCCGACTTCAGCCAGGTCACGATCTCACGGTCCGTGAGTTCGAGCCCCGCGTCAGGCTCTGGGCTGATGGCTCAGAGCCTGGAGCCTGTTTCCGATTCTGTGTCTCCCTCTCTCTCTGCCCCTCCCCCATTCATGCTCTGTCTCTCTCTGTCCCAAAAAATAAATAAACGTTGAAAAAAAAAAATAGATGAATGGATAAGAAAAATGTGGTGTATATATACACACACACATACACACACACCGTGAAATATTACACTGCCATAAAAAAGGATGAGATTGTGTCATTTGAGATGACATGGATGGACCCAAGGAGTTTTATGCTAAGTGAAATAACAAGTCAGACTGAGAAAGACAAATACCATATGATTCTACTCATGAGTGGAATCTAAAAAAAAAAAAAAAAAAAAAAAAAAAAAAAAATGAATAAACAAACAAAAAAGCAGAATCAGCTCTATAAATACAGAGAACAAACTGAAGGTTGCCAGAGGGAAGGGGGGGATGGATGATCAGGCAAAATGGGTGAAGGTGAGTGGGAGATACAGGCTTCCAGTTACGGAATGGTAAGTCATGGGAATAAAACGCAGAGCATAAGGAATACAGTCAATGATATTGTACTAGCAATGTAACGGGACAAATGGTAGCTACACCTGTGCTCAACATAATGTATAAACTCATCAAATCAAAAAAGAAAAGAAGGAAAGGAAAGAAGGGAAAGGGAAGGAAAAGAAAAGGAAAAGAAAGAAACTGGGTGTTTGATGTTTGAATTTAAAGGTATTTGCATTGATAAGGCATAAAGTCCTCCTCTGCCTACATTGCCACCTTCACCATCCCTCACCAGCCGTCATCAGTGCAGCTTACTACATGAACGGTTCTTAGGAGGAAGAGGGTTTATTGGAGAAACGACCCAAGTTTCATGTCTGTGTCTAGTTGAGAAAAATAGCTGCTTTGTGGCTCACATTGTATTTCCAACAAGTGGACAACTCTTTTAAGAAGTTGTACTGTAAAGGGAAGGAAAAATATGGAGAGGTAACTGGTGAGAGGGGTGGATCGAGACTGGTTGGTTGGGTTGTTTTTTTAATCAATAACCTTTCTTCATTGAGTGAATTGTGAGGACGAAACAAGATGAAGTTTGAAGGATAATATTTTGTACATAGTAACTCCTCAATGTGTTCACTATTATTATTGTTTCTGTGCTGTTGTAGGAGAAGGAGAGAAAGAGAAGGGGAATGTGGAGAGGGGAGCAGGAGAGGAGGAGGAGGAAGAAAGACCTGGCGTCCCTTACTCTTTTTGTGTCCTCTGAAGCATCTGCAAATCCTGCTTCTGTCCCACCAGATGCTGCAAGATGGTCCTTCTTTTCTGGCTAGCAGCGGTCTCCATCTGGTGCTTCATGTATTTCTGGTCTCGCTTTCGCTTTTGCACCATCATTTCACTCTCATCCTTAGCAAAGATGGGTTCACAAGGCTCTGGCTCAAACGTGGACATTTGCATGGATTTATTCTTTATCTGAAACAGGGACACATATAATACAGATCAGAATGATACCAGGCAATAAACCTTACACACAACAGTGTAGCATAGTAAAATACCCGTCCCTTAGAGGCAGGAACAAGGGCTGCAAAAACCACGAAATGGGTAACACACAAGGCTACAGTTTTTATACGTATTTTTAGAATGCTACTGCAGAACTGCAGAACTTTGAAATAACAGTTGTCCCCTTACCTGTGCATCCAAAGCTCTCTTATAACACTGGGTGTCTTCCATCTTATCTCTGATGTATTTGGCTCTCTGTGCATCAAGTCTAGCAATTAAAGATAAGAGGAGGCGGGGGCGACATTCGTTATTGTCTTCAGTAATACAGATTAACATCACTAAAATGTATTTAATAAATATCAATAGGAGTGAGAGCCTGGTAAATAAAAAGTGGCATTTCTTTCTAGGAGCTTCCATTTTAAGAAAGAAAGGAGTAATTCAAATGCATAGGCTAGTGGACAATGTGTTGAATAGAGGACAGACAGGACAAGTGTAAGCACAGGAATGACCATTTTGTCCAAATTCACTACCACTAAGACAGGTCCTCCTTCACCCTCCCACCACCCCCCCCACCACCCCCCCCACCCCTGTGCTTTAAATAAACCATGACAGGAAAGCAGGAAGTGTCTATTTCTTCTACAAAACGATTCACCATAAGACTCCTTTTTAAGAAAGTGATATTTCCTATTATAAATTATGATTCTGTTATATGCAACCTAGAGGGAACCCATATGATCTATAAAGCGAGTATAATGGAACATAAACATTTTGTAGAAAAATAATTTTTCAGTCCCAAAAGCTAGCTTATTATTTGTTTTAGGAGTCTCTCTCACACTACAGTAGCCTCTTTAATTTCTCTCCTGACCTCAGTAGTAGAAGTGTGACTCGCCCTTAGGCAGGTTTGAACTCTGACCCTATCCCAGACCTCAGATGATCTGAACAATACCAATCAGATTCTCTTTCCTGAATATTCAGGATTGAGACTAACATTCATCCAGGTTTGAGCTGGAATAAAGATGATGTCTACCAAGGAGCTATGGGGGTGAGCAGAGGGAAGGATTCTTTACATGACTTTTTAGTCCTTGATTCTAGTCCTCTTAGATCCCCTCTCCCCCACATTCCTGTCCCCGGGTTCCCCTGTGAGATACCGGTACTGACATTAAACCCCAGCTTTGACTTGAGATTGACTGGGAATAGCTGGGAATAGTGCTTGTTCAAGACAAGTCCCCTCCTTCACCTACCAGTATTAGTGATGACAAAACAATACAAAATGATTCTCTATAATTAGTTATAGATTGGTATCACTATAATGATAATTATAATAATGACAGCTTTTTTTCATTTTTCTAATGAAATGTTATGCTGAGGTACTGGCTGCCAGCTGGGTTGGTTGGCTCAGTTGGTTATAGTTGTGCTAATGAAACTACCAATGCTGATTGAATCCCACATGGAAATAAGCTTCACGTGAAAATTCTGAACCCGTTTTTAGAGCCTGTCAACCAGACTCACTCCTCTGTGAGATGCTTTTGTTCTAGGCGGCCCATCAGCTCTCTGTTTTGTCTTTGCTTTATTTGCTTTTCCCGTCTGTTATCCATTTGTTTCAGGAGACTTTGGGAATATTCTTCTTGTTTAAAAGCATTAATCTCAGAACTGAGTGGCCGTTTATCAAATAGGAAAGATTTCTGGAATGAAGGAGAAGCAATTCATTTACTTTAAAATACCAAAAAGCAACAAAGAATAAAGGTAGTAATTCAGAAAACTAAAATCCATGATTAACTTATAGTATTTGCAGGTATTAGCAACAGAAATTTTGAAAAGACTCACACAAAATTCAGGTTTCTCCTTCTTGTGGATTCTTATAGCTTCAGCAACTCCAAGATTATAGGCAGCATTTTTTTGATTCTGTGCTCTATTAGCCAGATTTCTCATCTTTGAAAACAAACAAACAAAAAATTACGTACTGAAAATACAGCCTTTAAAAATTTAATTCTAGGGGCGCCTGGGTGGCTCTGTTGATCGAGCGTCCGACTCCGGCTCAGGTCATGATCTCGCGGTCTGTGAGTTCAAACCCCACATTGGGCTCTGTGCCAACAGCTCAGAGACTGGAGTCTGTTTCAGATTCTGTGTCTCCCTCTCTCTCTCTGACCCTCCCCTCTTCATGCTCTGTCTCTCTCTGTCTCAAAAAAATAACATTAAAATAAACATTAAAATAAAAATTAAATAAAATTAAATTATTTAAAATATTTAAATTATTTTATTAAATTATTATTATATTAAAATAATTAAATTATTTAAAATAAAAATTAAAATAAAAAATAAACATTAAAAAAAATTAATTCTATTACATTATAATAATCCAACTGAGGTAGAAACTCGCCTTTTGGAGGCAATGGTACTTTCTGTAAAGCTTCATAGATTTATAAAAGTGGGTTGGGGAAGGTTTTTTTTCTTTTTTCCTGTTTTGCGGCTTTAGGCAGCACCTCTGTGGGGATCGTAAGAGGGAATGGAAGATTTCTTAAGTGGTTACCTGGTATCACAAATGCAAGAAAGAGCAATATGGTCAGCTATGGGAGACCACAGAAATCTGGACAGTGCAAATATGGGGGTACCATCCTCTCTTTGCTTGCTTGAGATAGGCCATAGATTTGAAGGGGAAAGCCTTGGTTATGTTGTATTAGAAATCACAAATAAAACCATATAAATCCAGGAGTTCCACCTTTAAAACTAAGTCCTTGGGGGTTGGGGAGAGGGAGAAATCAGTGGCAGGTACAAACATTCAGTGTTGCTCAGTGTTTCATACATTGAAACACTCATTGTTGCTCAGTGTACAAACATTCAGTGTTTCATAGTTTTATTATGAAAACTTGCATACAACCCAAGTTTTAGTCCAACAATAAGGAAATGATTAAATACATTACAGTACAGACATATGACGGGGCATTTAACGTGGCCCTTTAAAATCAAGTTCCTACGGTCCCATTCTTCAGTCGGAGTGTTGAACTACCTGGTGTTTCTGGAGCTCCTCTTGATCCTTCATCATTTGATACTGCCGAATGTGTTGCTCATTTTCTCTCTCCCCTCTCTTCCTCTCACTGCTGTGGTGTCGTGGCAAATTGCGCAGCGCTCGTTGCAAACACACATAACACAATTCCTACAATACCGAGTTTGAAGACAAACTGAGTTTTTTGCCTTTTACTTGTTTTCCTTCACATTCCCTTCACAAGCTTTCCAGAGACTGAGCATGTCAAGCAACATACTCTATAAACGAATGTATTGATGGCAATTAGAAACATGAGTCTTCAAAGTGGGCTCCACAAATATCCAAAAGGATTTACTGAACTCTCATTTGATCAAAAGTATTTATAGCAGGTGGGCCTGGGTGGTTCAGTCAGTTAAGTATCTGACTTTGGCTCAGGTCATGATCTCTCATGGTTTGCAAGTTCGAGTCCTGCATTGGGTGAGCCTCACTTCTCTCTCTCTACCCCCCCCCCCCCCCCCCGCCCTTGCTCACTGCACCCTCTCTTTACCTCAAAAAAGAAATGTATTTGTAGCAAGTGAAAATTAGAAAGAGATATACCAACCCTACTTGTGTTAACCCTAGTAGATTTTAATAATAGATATGTTTATTGGAGTCTAATTTGGGGTCCTGAGTATTTGAACCATATCCATACATTGAAAAAAAAAAAAGCAATTCCCATAACTCTTACTGAGAAACAGAAGTCAGAAACAGAAAGAGAACTTTGTTTGAAGACACTGTACCTGCCCTGCCTTAGTATGATCCTGGCAACCAGTGGCTGGAGAAATGTTATGCTTCATTTTATTGTAATCTTTCAAATAACGTGGAGATGATAAGCTATAAAAACAGTGCAACATGAATTAATGTTTAAAAGTCTGACATGAGCTATGATAATTTGGGAAGCAAGCACAAATATAAGGGAAAGAAAAATAATCTTAGCGATCTTTCTCAGAGGATCTATATGTATTGAGGTTAAGAATCCATGGTTTGTGTCAAATAAACTGGGGTTTGAATCCCAGCTTTTTTGCTTACAAGTTGACTGGCATTAGGCAACCTGGGTCATCTTGCAAAAAATCTCAGTTACCAATGCTATGAAATGGGTATAAAATGTATTCATTCTACAAAATGTATTGTGCTTATTATATGCACTATTTTAGGCATGGGAGATGCAGTAAAGAACAAAATATACAAAAAAAAATAAGAAAAAGAAATCCTTGTCCTTATGGAATTAACATTCTGATAAGAACTGACAGCCTGCTGATAAACAAGTAAGTCAATTCAATAGTATATGTGATTGGGTGGCTCAGTCAGTTGAGCATCTGACTCTTGATTTCGGCTCAAGTTATAGTCTCAGGGTCCCCACATCAGGCTCTGCTCTGAGTATTGGAGTCTGCTTGTGATTCTCTCCCTATCTCTCTGCCTCTCCCCCGCTCACACACATACTCTCTCTCTCAAAATAATAAACTTATTTAAAAAATAGAATGTGTGAAGGTGATAAATGCCCTACAATGCTGGAGGGATGGAGTATTGAACCAAACAGAACGCCCATGTAAGATGTACCAAGAAGGTGATATTTCAGTAAATAGCTGAAAGAAGGAGGGGTTAAAAATAATCAAATATCTGATGCAAAAAGCATTCCAGGCAGAGTGAATGAGTACAAAGTCCTTGAGGTGGGAGTGTACCTGTGCTCAAAGTAGCCAGTGAAAGATGAGATAGCAGACAGAAAGTAGGAGAGAGATCAGAGACCAAACAGGCTCTTGGAGGCCATGGCAAGGGCTCTGGCTTTTACCCTGGGTAAGAATGGAATCCATTGGAGGGTACAATGTCCAGTATTAACAAAACTATGGAGAAGACAGCAGTCCCTCATATTTCTGCTACTGGGAAGATAATTTGATATAACCTTCCTGAGAATAATTGATAGCATGTATCAAAGGCATGAAAAATGGGTTCATCTCTTACCTCTAAAATTTTACTTTAAAGTTTTTATTCTATAGAATATTCAGGTGCATGCAGAGAATTATGTGTAGATATATTGTCACAGTATGGTGTATAATATTAAAAAACTAAAAATAATCTAAATATCCAAAAGGAGATGAGTTAAACAAAAGGTTTAATTAATGAAGTGATGTGCAATTATTTGTTCATGTTCTGGGACATTCAAAGCCATGGGAAAATGTTAACCACTTATTGTTGAGTATAACAAAGTTTCATATGATATGATCTCAGTTGTACTTAAAATGTGTGTATATGTTTCAAATATAAATATATGTATAATGGGTGATTTTTTTGTATCTATTCCTTTTCTCATTTTTCAAAATTTCTGTGATATACATTACACACACACACACACACACACACACACACACACACACACACACACCCATTTTTTGGTCAACATCTATAGGAAGCCTCCACCAATAAGCCCTAACAATTAATTACTCCCTCCTCCTTGCAGCTCCTGTACTTTCTTTTGTTGTCTTTACCATGTGTACTACTTCTTTAGTGTCAGTCTCCCTGAGAGACTGTTTATATGTCTTTTATATGTCTTACAGCTCTGTGTCTTTGGTGTCTAAAGTAATGCCCAGCATACTGTGGTGCTCAGTGTCTGTTGGATTGAACTAAATTCCAAAGTACAAGACATTTAATTCACAATTATCTTTCATAACCATGAGATTATTCAAAACAAGCATGCCCAGGGTTTTGAACATGACTTTAGTACCACAGAGTGCATAAATCACACATATGATAGCTGATACACTGTGACACATTAACAAATTCAAATTTGCTAGCCCAATGCAGTATAAATAATCAATGCTCAATAGATAACTTGAGTATGGTTGACTAATTTGAGGTTTTAAAAAGTGTCCTACTTGGGGTGCCTGGGTGGCTCAGTCTGAGCATCTGACTCTTGATTTCAGCTCAGGTCATGATCTCACAGTTCCTGAGATCGAGCCCTGCTTGGGATTCTGTCTCCCTCTCTCTCTGCCCCTACCCCACTTGCTCTCCATCTCTCAAAATTAGTAAAAGATAAACTTTAAAAAAAAGTGTGTTAAAAAAAAAAGAAAATAGAAATCTTTTGGGGTGCCTGGGTGGCTCAGTCAGTTAAGCATCTGACTCTTGATCTCAGCTCAGGTTATGATCTCATGGTTTGTGAGTTCAAGCCCCACATCAGGCTCTGCACTGAAAGTGTGGAGCCTGCTTAGAATTCTCTCTCTCCTCTCTCTGACTCTCCTTTGCTTGCTCTCTCTCTCTCTCAAAACAAATAAGTAAACTTTAAAAAAATGAAAATAGAAATCTTTTGACATAACATTGTTAGAAGACATGACCATAATGAATTGTAATACATTCATTCATTCAAAGAATGTTTATTGAATGCCAGCCATGTTTAGCAAAACTGCTTTCCAATTTGATCCAAATTGGAAAACAAGAGAAATTTTCCAAAATCCACAAGAGAGTTAGATGTTCTCTCCCCTGTGCTATTTTGTTTCCACCTCTGTCATAGTGTTTATCCTACTGAGTCATAATTTATCACTCTATGTATGCCTGGCTTTCCCACTAGATTATGAGCCCTGACTGAATCTATTATCCCAATCACCTAACAGGTAGAATGTACTCAAGGATACAGAATGAAGGAATGAATAAACACTCATTTAAATTCCCTGCATCAAGATATAACTCAAAAATATATTTAGTAACAGACACCAGATAAAATACCAATGCATTACCTTTCGCGGTTCACACTCTTACCACCACTAACATTCTGCTCCGCCATGTTTGGAAAGCTGATGTTTGTCACTTTGAAAGGAGAGAGAGCATGTTTTTCTCGAAGTCTCTTGTGTGTTATGATCTCTGTAAAATGAATGAAACCAAGTTTCCTTTCAACTTTAAATGGGTGGTTTTGTACTTAACTAATTTTTAAAACTCGTTATTTTACCCGGGAAAATTTATATATAAGATACATTTCTTATCTTAAATTATTGTCCCTTGCCCTAGTGTGATTCAAACAAATATTTTTTTGTATATTTATTACGTGCAAGACACTGGCTAGTCACTTTAGAAAATACAAGAGGCAAGTCTTTGCCCTTCAAGATCTTTCAAAAGATCTCAACTTAATTAATTAAGATCTCAACTTAATAATGGTTTGACCTATGATTTGTGACTTTGGCTTTTGATGGTGTAAAGTGATGTGCATGCAGTACAAACTGCACTTTGAATTTTGAATTGTGATCTTTCCCTGGACTAGTGATATGTGACACAACATTCCCTTGGGGATGCTGGGCGGCCCAGCAAGCTGCAGCAGGCAGCCAGCCACAGTTAGGAGAGTGAACAAGCGATACACTTCCAGCTATTCTGTACCCATGCAACCAGTCTGTTTTTCACTTCCAGTAGTCAATAAGTTACATAAGATATTCAATACTTAATTATAAAATAGGCTTTGTGTTAGGTGATTTTGTCCAACTATAGGCTAATGTAGGCTAGATGACACATTTCAGACAGGCTAGCTATAATGTTCAGTAGGTTAGATGTATTAAACACATTGTCAGCTTATGATAGTTTCAACTTATAATGGGTTAACCTGAACATAACCCCATCGTTAAATTGGGGAAGATCTATAGTTGTAGAGAAAAATAAGATATAGACAAAAACCCCAAGAGCTCTCATCGTGGAGGTCTTATTACATGCCTACAATGCTAAGTCGCTTTGCATACATTGCATAAATAGCAACTCAGGGCAATGATGAAAAATGTCTACATTCCAATTGATGGTGCTATCTTTAAGGGTCTGCCATGTTTAGAGATGAAAGAAGACACTTCAGAATCCAGTGATGAGAGAAGTGTTCATGGAGTAAGTGCGATGTAAAAATGATGCTAAGAGGTGAGTAGGATTGGGCTGGACTGTAAGAAAAGGAAGGACATTCTAGGCAAGAGAAAAAGAATGAACAAAAACATGAAGTCAGGGAAGGACAAGATGTGTTAGAAGGACATAAATAGACAATTCTGCTCAGAGAAGGAATCTATAGGAAACAGTGACAGATGAGGTTACAGACACAAAAGCATGTGAATATTAGGCTAACAGTTTACATGTAGTCCTGTAGGCCACATGTTGCAAAAACAATATCCACAAGCCAATGTTTACCCACTGACATGGGTTTTTTTTTTTTTTGGCTCTATCAGCATTTTTTGCTTCAATGTCAATTAGTGTGTTGCCTACAAAGCAATAATCTCCTAAAGGAAGTTTCCAAAGGGTGGCATGGCAACCCCTAAGGATCCCTAGGATCCTTTCCAAAAGTCTTTGAAATCCTAGGATTTTCTTCATATGCTTCAACCAACACAAACATATCATAACAGATTAAATGAAGACACAGATATGAAAATCCAGCCACCTTATATTAAGCCAAGTATCAAAGATGCAAAACTTCCATTCTCCATTTTTCATAAAAATTATTATTTATGCTAACATGTCACCCTATCATGTTAAATGCAACCCACTTCATGCATTTACATTATCTGACTGGACCCTGTAGGCATATGAATTTTGACCTCTTTAAGTAATGGGGAACCAGCAAAGAGATCATAGTCTAAAAGCCTGAGAGTCAAAAAGTGGTTAAGATGAGATACAAGATTCCAGGAATAGAAGATATATGTTAGAAAGAAGAATACAGTAATTATTCATGATTCTAACTTTATTTATTTTGAGCATAGAAGTCACTAAGCAATATGGCTGGGCTACCATCAATATGGTAGCAATATTGGCCTACCTCTGACGCCTTCTTTGCTTGGATGGTCTTTTAATTCGCACTTCTCTTGTCCATTCATTTCATTTTCATCTTCCTCTACAATGGTCTCCATAGGTGGTTTTTTGTCCAACGTCTTGATCTCAATCCTAGAAACAAGCCACGATGTTTACTGCTCTGGGCCTGAATAGGTGAATGTGTGAACTTTCAATCCTTAGAAGCAACCCAGCTAGCTATCTGGTTCTGAAATACACCCACTTCTCTCAAGGGGGCAAGTGCTTTCATTTACTGAGGCTCTCTTTCAGGCTAAGTTTGGTGGCCAACCAAGACCTCCCCTCTCAGTACTGAGGCCTCAAAAGCAGATAAATTGAGGGATTTAAGCTTTGGGTTTGGTCTCAGTTTGAACCCGGCTGTCTTTTCTAGTTCTGTAACCGGATGCATAGAGGTGACAGTGAAAGGTGGCTGTTGAATGACTTAAAGGCAAAGATTCACAGCCTGGTAGGCAGAGACCAAAATATGCCCAGAAATAACTGCTCCTCCCCTCCCTCTTTCTCCTCCCCACAGCTCCATCCTTTCCCCAGGCAAAAGTGAGGGACTTGCAAAAGCACAATGGGGGAATGGATGTGTTCAGCTGGTGCATGTAGTTGTAGGTTTTCTGTGGTCTCAAGTATGGAGTGCTGGGTTAGAGGTGTAAGCAGGAGAGAGGGCAGTGGGGGAGGGTGGTACTTCCAGTAAATTCAGGGACCAAACTTCATATGAATAAAACATCTACAACTATTTTGAGTATTTGAGTTCTCCGGTCCATCTCTAGGCTCTCTAGTTAACAGGAGCTTCCATCTCTGTTCTTGACCCATTGCAATTATTTCCCTCCTGGAATGCTTCAGCCAAAATATGTCCAAGGGGGCAGCCAAATTTGCCTTCCAAAATACAATCACAATAAAATTATTTTGAATCCATTGATTTATTTTTAATGAGTAAGGCAACATGGTACAATAGAAAGAATAGTGGAACAGTCAGGAGCCATGGTTTTATTTCTAGCTTGGCCATTCAGTTGTTTGTCCATTTCATCCACAATATTAAGGGTCTAGACTAACTAATCTCTAATGTTTATTCTGACCCTCACACTGATTTTGAGGTATGTCATACAGTCCTTCCTAGAGGGGGTTTTTCCAAACCAACTAACACAGGAGGATGTCACAGATTTAAAAACCATGAGAAAATAATACTCTGGGAAGCTGGTTGTTATTCCCCAAACTTCCTCCACCTGAAAAGCGTAATAGTTAATGGCATAGCAATTAAAATTAAGAACATGATTAAGGGTACACAATGAGTGAGTGACAGCTAAACTGGGGGAAAAAAAACCAAGTCTCCTGACTCCTATTCCAGTGTACTTTTTAAAAAAAAAATTTTTAAATGTTTATTTACTTTTGAGAGAGACAGACAGACCATGAGTAGGGCAAGGGCAGAGAGGGAGACACAGAATCCAAAGCAGGCTCCAGGCTCCATGCTGTCAGCACAGAGCCCGATGCAGGGCTCAAACCCACAAACCACGAGATCATGACCTGAGCCAAAGTTGGACACTCAACTGACTGAGCCACCCAGGTGCCCCCTATTCCAGTGTTCTTAATACTGCACCATGTTGTTTCACTTATTAAAAGAAAAAAAAATTAAAATTACAATTTTGCACCTCTATAAAATGGATAAAATTAAATACACAGCTCAAATAGCTAAAGTGAAAATTAAGTGCAATAATATTGAGAAAGTGCTTAATAGCATCTGACATCTACAGTAGTAAATATTCCATAGATGACAATTATTATTATTATCAGTATCATTATTATAATCATTGTCAGCAGCCACCACTAAAACCCACTGCACTCTTGGGATAAAGTTGTTCCTTTATTCTACCTTATCTCTCTAACCACTTGAGTGGTAAGAATCAGAGCTCAGACAGGTGAACTAGACTGCAGAAAGAGAAAGCTAGTTCAGAGGAAATGATGGAAGGTAGAGGAAAGCCCAGAAGATGAGAAGAATTGCACTAATATTGCAGGGACTAAAATTGATGGGAGGTAGTATCAGAGTTTCTAGGGAGCTAAGAGTAGTTTTAAAAATGAATAGTCTAGGGGCGCCTGGGTGGCGCAGTCGGTTAAGCGTCCGACTTCAGCCAGGTCACGATCTCGCGGTCCGTGAGTTCAAGCCCCGCGTCAGGCTCTGGGCTGATGGCTCAGAGCCTGGAGCCTGTTTCCGATTCTGTGTCTCCCTCTCTCTCTGCCCCTCGCCCGTTCATGCTCTGTCTCTCTCTGTCCCAAAAATAAATAAACGTTGAAAAAAAAATTAAAAAAAAAAAATGAATAGTCTAGATGGACCTAGAGGGTATAATGTTAAATTAAATAAGCCAGACAGACAAAGATAAACACCATATCATTTCACTCATATGTGGAACTTAAGAAACAAGACAAATAACAAAAGAAAAGAAGAGTCAAACAAAAAAGCAGATTCTTAAATACAGAGAACAAACTGGTGGTTTCCAGAGGGGAGGTGGGTGAAGCATGGGTGAAATAAAGGGGATTAAGAGTACATTTATCATGATAAGCACCAAGTAATGTATAGAGTTGTTGAATTATCATAAATAAAAATCGTCTAACTGGCCATTGCTTTCTAACTTAACTATGGAAAGTGTATGCAACAAATCCTTCTTTGCTAGAACACTGAAAGAGAGAGAACACTAAAAGGAGCATGAGCCAGAAAAGATGAGAAACACTACCCAATCACATTAATAAATCAACAAGGATTGCTGTGCCTGGAGGAAGCTGTGGAGCAAAACACTGACCTTGGAAATGCACACCCACACTTGGATTGCTTCTCTGAGCTCTCTCCGCTGGACAACACGGAGTCCACAGTGCCAGGCCTCTGGAGGACAGAGAAAGAGAAAGGTTATGCTTGGGGCAGTGGTCTAGGACACATACAAATCAAAGCTATAGGCAGTCTCAGAGGCAAGGCTACCATGATACTCTCTATTGTTATTTCTTACTTATTTACTTATTTATTTATTTATTTATTTATTTATTTATTTATTTATTTATATTTTTTTAGTGCTTAAAGTCTAGAGCTTAAAATCCAAAGAGGAATTATCTCATTTATCACCGTGGATAGTCTCATACCAATTCCACTGATGCTGCCTTTTCTCAAACCATTTCCTCTTTGGAAATTACCTTCAGAGTTGATGGCTTCTTTTATACATCTTTAAGAGGAGAGCTGACTTATTTGAAACTATGAGGAAAATAAGCAAGGAAGCCAATTCCACTCTTGACCCAAATAACTCTAAGAGAAGGGTAAGAGAAGGGCTTTGAAGTCACGTGGATTCATGTTCACATCCCCACACTGTTAAGTTATGTAACCTTAAACCCTGAGTATGTGGGGATAACAGGATCTAATTCATAGAATTTTTATGAGGTACTGTATGTAAGTGGCTGGCACATAATAAACACTCAACAAATAGCAGCTATTATAATTATTATCACATTTTACAGTAATGACATTATTACATTATACTAGTATAGAAATCCAAAATTATTTTTGAAATGATATGGTTTACAAAAGGCTTTGAAGGGAATTTGCAAAAAGAAGTTTTAAATATGGTTCCAGCAAAAGCAGCATCATTGAAATAAACCTACAGCTTCCCAAGAGAACTACTCTGCAGAACAACACTCAGGTTTAAGTTATGGGACATTTGGGGGGAAAGAATCACTCTCACCACTTTATAGCAATTTCCCAAAATGTGATTTAAAAAAAAATTTTTTTTTACATTTTATTTATTTTTGATAGAGAGAGACAGAGCACAAGTGGGGGAGGGGCAGAGAGAGAGGGAGACACAGAATCCGAAGCAGGCTCCAAGATCTCAGCTGTCAGCACAGAGCACGACGAGGGGATCGAACTCACAAACTGCAAAACATGACCTGAGCCCAAGTCGGACCAACTGAGCCACCCAGGCATCCCCCCCAAAATGTGATTTTTGCTGTTAACAAGCCTTGGATTAACCAAAAGTTCCACGATTCATGATTCAGTCAGTTAAAGCAGACTTCTCAGATCCTTTAACATGCCAGTGTGTTTTGTGCTTCTGTCCAGGAGGGTGATATATGCAGCAGCCCTCCATCTGCTTTGGTCTCCAGATCCTTTTTTCATAGAATATCTCTCGGGATGACTACTTCTGGAAAATGCTCCTTCAAAGTTATGTCTTAGAGTGCAGCAGGCTGTCCTCTCTTATAAACATGTTATTAAAACTACAAAGTTCTGTAGAATCCCTGAAGATTAGAGATGGGCCAGCACTTTGGCCTTGCTTCTGCTGTATTTTCATGGAAACGGGAGGGTGATAGCTGCGTGTTTCCACTTTACATACACAGGGTTAGTGCCTATCTTTAAAATCCTACATGAAGCCAGATTGTGCAGAAAACACCAAGAGCTTCATTATGCACAACTCTTAAATCCCCATCCCAGAGCTCCATGAAAAAGGAAATTAGAAAGTAGAGAGTAGAATTAGACCGTATTTATAGACTTTCATTTTATAGTCTTTCACTTAAAAATCAGGCTTTTGCTCTATGGAACCCAGGATTTTATAACATTCTATGATAATATAATTCATTTGTACCAATTTTATTCATTCTTAAGGCACACTAAGCATTCAGTTAGTTCTGGTGATTAACTGTTTCACTACCTCCTTAAACTCTGCTATGTCCAACTTAGCATGAAGGTCATACCAGCTACTGAATAATAATGATGGGGTCAATTATGAAATTTCTTCCACAGTATGGCAAATTAAAAGCTAAAGATACATTTCCATGACTCGATTTATTGTAGACTGTCATTAAAATAAAATACCATGGGGCGCCTGGGTGGCGCAGTCGGTTAAGCGTCCGACTTCAGCCAGGTCACGATCTCGCGGTCCGTGAGTTCGAGCCCCGCGTCGGGCTCTGGGCTGATGGCTCAGAGCCTGGAGCCTGTTTCTGATTCTGTGTCTCCCTCTCTCTCTGCCCCTCCCCCGTTCATGCTCTGTCTCTCTCTGTCCCAAAAAAATAAATAAACGTTAAAAAAAAAAATTAAAAAAAAAATTTTTAAATAAAATACCATAAGGACACCTAGGTGGCTCAGTCGGTTAAGCATCTAACTCTTGATCTTGTCTCACAGTTAATGAGATCAAACCCTACCCCGGGCTCCATGCTGAGCATGGAGTCTGCTTGGGATTCTCTCTCTCATGGTCTCTGCCCCTCTGCTGTTTGTGCACTCTAAATAAATAAATAAATAAATAAATAAATAAATAAATAAATAAATAAATGCTATAACCAGCCAAAAAAAAAAAAAAAAAAAAAAAAAAAAAAAAAAAAAAAAAAAAAAAAAAGAGCCATTAGGAAGTCTGATTCTACCACTTATTAGCACTCTGATTTCAGGCTTCCCACATAATCTCTGAACCTCCATTTTTCTCATTTGTAAAATCAGGATGATAATAATGCCAGTTTTATAATGTTTTCAAACTCAAATGAAATAATAGATATGGAAGAATTTTTAAACACTATATGGTACTATAAAGTATTCAGAATTATGAACGCTTTTATTACTATTTATATTTTTCAGTTGGTATTGACTCAAAACTTAAGGTTTCTTTGCCCTTCTAACCTTTTTGTTAAAGAGTTAACCATCTATAAACAAGCATTTTTTTGCACTTGGGGTAAGTGCCATTTAAAATACATCAACCCAGGGGCGCCTGGGTGGCGCAGTTGGTTAAGCGTCCGACTTCAGCCAGGTCACGATCTCGCGGTCCGTGAGTTCGAGCCCCGCGTCGGGCTCTGGGCTGATGGCTCAGAGCCTGGAGCCTGTTTCCGATTCTGTGTCTCCCTCTCTCTCTGCCCCTCCCCCGTTCATGCTCTGTCTCTCTCTGTCCCAAAAATAAATAAACGTTGAAAAAAAAAAATTAAAAAAAAAAATAAAATAAAATACATCAACCCAGGGCGCCTGAATGGCTCAGTCAGTTAAGTGTCTGACTCTTGATTTCAACTCAGGTTACGATCGCATAGTTCCTGAGATCGAGCCCCACATCAGGCTGCATGCTGACAGTGTGGAGCCTACTTGGGATTTTCTCTCGCCCTCTCTCTCTGTCCCCCCAACTTGCGTGCCCACGCTCTCTCAAAATAAATAAACATTTAAAAAAATAATAAATAAAATGTCAACCTGAGTTTTTCTTAATAATGACACACAGGTAATTCAAAGTTTTGATTGGGAGAGGGGTGTGGAGAAGGAAAACATTAACTTACATTTGCGAGGGCTTCTGCCAAAGCCCCAGTTCCATCCATTTTAGAAAGGAAATCCTTATAAAATCTCATCTTCACTTTGCCGCCTTTAATCGTGAGGATCCCGATTCCTTTGAAAGTAAACTCCACATTTGGTTTGGTGGAAATGGATCGTGATAAAAAAAGCAAAGTTTCTTTCACACAGTTTTCCACTGTATCCCTGCTAAATGGACCCTGCAGGGATATCGTGACAAAATTAAGTGGAACAACGGGAATATCACCTAGAGGAGAAAGACAGGGTGGGAGAAAGGAAATGTAAATTACAACAAGGTCATATCATATACACTCACAAATAATTATCTGATTCTTAATACTCAAAAATAGAATTGTCCATGTTAAGTCCTTAGTTGTACCCTAACAATAGACAGTAATCAGTACAATTTTCCTTAAAAGTATATATTTTGCTCACAATAAGAACAATTAGGTTTCTAAGCAAATTCCAGACAAGCTTTTGATTTTCCCTTGGAGACAATGTAATAACTAACTGCATTTCTTCATCAGAGGGTTTTCTGAAGTTTTCAGCCCTCTTATCTCTCAGGACATACTGTAGCAATACACTTGCCTGTCTCCTCCAATTATCACATCATTTTTAAATGTTTATAAATATCCATAAATGTCAAGTGTTTTGAAAAGATAGTTCAGTAGATGTTACCTTCAAATGAAAGTGTCTTATCAGAGGGTATCAGACTGGATAACTTGCTTTTTCTCCCTAATGAATCCCTAAATGACATTGCAAAGGAATATGGTATATCTAGCATAAAAATAAGCATAGGGTCTATTCCACAAGAACAGATCACCAGTCAAAAAAGGGGATAAATAACACAGGCGATCAAGATAATAAATCCGAAAAGAGGCAGTAACAAGATCCACTAATAGAGGAACAGGATAGAAAGAAGAACATTCTAAACATTCATTGAGCAAGCATTAATTTATAGCTTTCCAAGTACCCAATGGTGCTGGATGATGAAGATTAATATCTGCAGAACACAAGCTTCCCTATATCAGCCATGGTCTTCTGTACAATTTGATGGTGATTCTATACCACCTCCCTCCATTTTTTTAATGAAGTTCTTAAAAGAAAATGCTATATTGCCTGCCTATGGATTGTTCCCTCCCATTTATCCAATGTCTCTCTTCAATCTGTCTTCTAGCCCAACTACTTCAGTAGGGACACTATCATCTCATAATGGACAAGCCAATAGATGCATTGCAAATCTTAATCTCATGACCTCTCTGTAACCTCCATTGACCGTGCCCTCTCTATGCTCTTGTATCCATGGCACCACTCTTGGTTCTCCAATTTCCTCTTTTTTGGTTTCCTTTGCTAATTTCCTTCCTCATCTACTTCTGATAAGATGGTGTTTTGTTGTGCTGTTTTCTGTTGTTGTTGTTTTTAAACAAGACTTTGTCCTTGTCTGTCGCCTTCTCTTACTTTATATCTTCTCCTAGGTAAATTTTTCCAAATCCTGACCTCTAGTCTCCATCCCTCACCTGAGCTCTGGAACTACCTCCACCTACGTATCCCTACAGGAATTTCAAATTTAACATGTCCAAAAGCTAACTCATTATTTTATCTACCACCCCAACCTGCCTTCCCCCTTGCTTCCCTAAGGTGTTAATGACAAAAACGTACATCTATTTTCCAATAAATCGGAGTCATGCTATGTACCTTCCTTCTTCTTGCTACCCACCAGTCTCAACTGGCAGCCAAATCCCATCAGTCTCCATACGAAATATCTCACAAATAGATTCCTTCATCTTCCTCCTGATTGCCACTGCAATCAGGCTCCTACCATATTTCATCAAACTGCTATAATTAAAAGAACTATCCTCCTAAATTAAAAACTGGACTAGTACATACAGTTCCTTGCTCAAAAACTTTCAATGGCTCCCCACTGCCTATAGGATGAATCCCAAAGTCCTTATCATACTGCCTATAGCCCCTTACAACTTAATTGCTACCAACCACTTTTGTCTTAATTCCCTCCAATTGCCTCCACAATCATATGCCTTGGCCACAGAGAAGTACCTTATTCTTATTCTTGAATTATTCTTATTGTTCCTGAAATATCTCCCACAGCTTCTATGCCAGCAAAGCCCTATCATTCTTTAAGACCTCCTGGGATATGTCATCTTCCTAAGCCACCCTGAACAAAGTTAAGCATGCTCTCCTCTGGGCTCCCCTACATTCAATCTAGTTCTGATCAATGCTGCTTTCACAGCATTTAATCAGGTTGAAATATTTGCTTATATATTTATCTCCCATGCTAAATTTTGAGCTCTTCAAAGCAAGGACCATGTCTTGATTATCTTTAAGAACCAATGTATAATGTTTAATTAATTACCTACTTAATTAATGATGAAGACTCATAACCACAAAGCTAAACTAGAGACAGAATTGTTCTTGTGAATTAATTCAATCATATATATTTAATTCTGAAATTTCTTCAGCCTTGTAAAAAAATTAATTATAGATCTAAGCTACTTTTTTTGGACTATACTATGAGATCCAAGATGTTTTTGTTAAAAAAAAAAAAAAACAAGTTGGCTTTATTTTCACTTTATTTGGTAGGTTTTTGATGAATTGGGGTATTATATGCCTTCTGTCATAAAAGTCTAGGTAAAAATGGCTGAAAAGTCCATCAAATCTACCATAAAGATCATATGCATAATGAATTCTAAGTATAACTTGTTGGTATTTGGTTTTCCAATATTTCATTTTTTGGTGGTAAGTTACTCTGAAAATTAACTTTCAGGGAAGTTACCGTAAAGGCCAGTTTTAGCCTTTTGACCTGCTGACATTTGGGGTGGACTGTCTCTATCCACGTAGGAGTGCAATGCAAGAGGGGATAAGGAAGGTTAAAATGAATACAGCCCCAAAATCAGGAAGAACGTCCCCAAAGGCTTCTAAGTAACCAGGGGAGGTGTCACCAAGTCTACACACCAAAGCTGGAAGGTAAGTAAGCATCCTCTGTCAGGCACCATATCCCTTTAGCTTATCACTATATCTCAAGTGCCTGGAACAAGGCCTAACACATAGTTGGCTCTCAGTAAATATTTGTGGAAAGAGGGAAAAAAGGAAGGGAGGCAGAAGGAAGGAAAGGGGAAGGAGGGAGGGAGAAAGCAAGGGAGGAAGATTTTAGGGTGTGAGAGGTATATAAGGTATTCATTAAGTCTTTATGGAATTATTAACCTCACTCCTAAGTTTTAATAATGTACATTATATACGATAGAACACAGTTAGTGATCTTTTTCATAGCTAATATGGACTGTAATTCTAATTACAGTCCCTAATTAACTTTTTCTCTATAACCACTTTTAATTTCTGAGGGTCTAAAAAAATGAACAAAGGCTGTATAACTCTGTAATGTGGCATGTAAATGTGCCTTGATATCACATCAAGTCTTCCCATGCCTGCCTCTTAAGCTACTGAGGTTTAAAATGTCCTGCAGGAAGACTGTCTATCATTTCCCACCTTGGCCCTTCCCTCTTCCAAAGGTACCATGTGAAAAGTGAGCTGAAATCACAAACTGATAAAGCAGCAACTGAACAAACTTTGCCCTTCCATTTTCATCCCCAGGCCAGTAACTTTCTGAGAATGTCTTAAATATTGAAAAGATTTACCAGGAATGTATGTTTTGTTTTGTTTGAGTTCATGGGTCCGTACTAACTTCTCTGCCATGATAAATATGGGTCTCTGAATCAGAATAAACTTGCTGTTTCCCACGTCAATTTTTTGTCTCATGAAAGTAAAAGTTCCAAGCCCTGGGATCTGAACACCCTGAAAGAAAAAGGAAGGGGGAAAAAAAGAGCAAGAATCAGAAATCACTGAAGAGGTAAGGAAAAATAACCCTTAGTACCTCTATTCAAAAAAACCCCATGAAAACAATTAAGCCTTAAATATTCAATGATTTCTAAACTCTCTTCCAGCTATAGTATGTCATGATTCTAAGTTCTCATGTAAGTATAAAATGTAATATATTGATCTACAATGCTTCTGACATCAGACCCTGCATCTCCATTACCATTCAAAGGCTGTGAGGACTAAGATAACTTGTATGGATGCCATTGCTACTTTTAATCTATATTTAAGATTCCTCTTATCCTAAATCGTGGGAAATTCTGAATTTTAATCATTTACATTAGAAAGAAGGAATTTAAAAAGCTGTAAGAATCTCTGCTTTCTCATTCCTTCTTCTAGGTTTTGTCTCTCACTTAAAACCAGACAATCCAGCATCCAAGGCATCTGCTGCAGTGTAGTGATCTTGGCTGAGGGGTAGAAGCAAATGCTTTTGGCTCTCAAACTAGGCCTCTGTCTCCCTGGAAATATCACACCTCAAGGGTTACAAACTCAAATGCCTTCAGGCACCACCCACGAAAGAACGCAAGGGAATGAAGGTAGCCAGCCAGAGAGTGCAGTGGCTAGAAAGTACAAACCCCATCCAAAGGGAAGAGCTCACTGTTGGCTCCAGCCAAGTGTCATCATGCAGGAATGGAAAACTGGTGTTGTTAAATCTGCTGATTTTTCAAGAAAAGAGAAACAAGTCCAAAACTTTATATATATAAACTCTCCAAATTTTAGGTTGGTGATGACTACTTCAAATTATCAGACCAAACAAGATAAGTTTGAAGGACGAATTCAGCCCACGGGTTGTCATAATGGGACCTGTGAGTAGGATATAAAAGTTTCACAATTTCCCAGCTCCCTCCAAACTCCCCAAATCTCTGTCCAGTTCCATGGCATCCAAACTGAAGTCTGGGCAAAGTTTCTCATTTTTGGCAAGATGAGTTCAATCCCAGATTGTCTTCTTGTATTTCAGTTAAAACCCATTCCCTGCAAAGAGGCATGGCAGGAAGCATTACATCCTTCTATAGCAATGCCAGAAACTATCAGGTCACAGATCAACAGAATTCATCTAGTTCCTCTACACACATCCAGACTGGTCAGTGATCTGCTTGGTATCACTAGAGAGAACTTTTACAAATTCATTACCTAAGAATAAAATCCATGTTTGTTAAATGCTATCTGTAAGTCATAGTGTGAGCATCATAAAATCACAGGACTGAAAGTCAAATTGAATGGCTCTAAAATCTGTTATCTTGCTCCCAGCAAAATTATACAAGACCAAGGAAGAAAGATCCTTTGGACTCTTGCATTAAACTTAAAGTATAAATCTTGCCTTTTGTAGGGATAGCTGTCGTTGCACAAATTCTGACACATTCCCCCAGATAGTAGACACTTCTGAAATTCAAAGGAAATAAAAAATAATTGATGTAAGCTCTCATGTGATAGTATCTAGTGCTAATAAATAAAAAAGTAAATGTGAACTGCAGAATCAAACAATAGTAATTCCTAATTAATTTAGAATTAACAGAAAATAAGTTCATTCCCAAAAGTTAATTTTCCTAGTAACTAAAGCTTACCATTTTACATTCCAAAAATGTGCTTAAAAATAACAATAACAATAAATTTTTAAATAAAATCTTTCTAGGATAAAGAGAACTCTGTCGCACATTTCCTTTTATTCTTTATAGAAGTGGGACAGAGTTCCTTTTATCCTATAAATAGAGTTAATCAAGTATAATCTAGTCTTTTTTCTTTTTTTTAGTTCTCTAGATTCCAGTTAGTTAACATAAAGTGTAATATTAGTTTCTGGTGTATAATTTAGTGACTCAACACTTCCATACAACACCTGATGCTCATGACAAGTGAGCTCCTTAATCTCTATCACCTATTTAACCCTACCCCTTTTTTCTTAATGACCGATTCAAAAAGTATTTATTGAGTGTCTACTCTGTGCCCTCTGAAATATAAAACTTTATTCTTTTTTATTTTATTTAATGTTTATATATTTTTGAGAGAGAGAGACAGAGACAGAGCGTGAGCAGGGGAGGGGCAGAGAGAGGGGGAGACACAGAATCCAAAGCAGGCTCCAGGCTCTGAGCTGTCAGCACAGAGTCTAACATGGCACTTAAACTCTGGAACCGAACTATGAGATCATGACCTGAGCCAAAGTCAGACACTCAATCA